CTCCAACGATCCCTGCCGAATGGATCGGATCTCTGGATTGAGCATAATGGATCAGACTCCGATCCATTATGCTCAATCCGCAGATCCGATCCATCCTGCAGGGATCGTCGGCTTTCTTTACAACTTACCTTTTCTCGGAGCGGGTCCAGTGTCGCCCTGTATAGGTTGCATTCCGACGATCCCCGCAGGATCGTTGGCATGCAACCTATACGGGGTGACAACGGACCCGCTCCAAGAAAAGGTAAGTTGTAAAGAAAGCCGACGATCCCCGCAGAATGGATTGGATCCGTCTTGCAGGGATCGTTGGCTTGCTTTACAACTTACCTTTTTGTGGAGAGGGTCCGGTGTCACCCCGTGCGGTTGGTGTCACCCAGTGCAGACCGTACCCCCCGCACCTGCCTCGGGACCCCACTGTGAGTTATCTACATTTCACGGTTATGAACACACGGTGAAGATCACAGGCACATTTATTTTATATATATTTTTTATAGATTTTTTTCACATTTTTTGATTTCTTTTTTTACCCTCTTTGGAATTTTCTATTACTCTATTTTGGGACAGTTACAAGAGTTGTCATTATATTCATGGTTTTTTATTATTCACTTCAAATGTTCACTATTGGTTGAATTGCTATACGGAGGGGTTACAATATCTTTTTGGTCTAAGCACACATAGCTGCCCACAGTCACATCACCCTGAATACACCCAGTCTTGTCTGATCTTGAAAGCTAAACAGGGTCGTACCTGGATGGGAGACCGCCTGTGATCACCAGGTGATGTAGGCTAAACTCTTTTGCATGGATCAAAATTGAGATAACCCTCAGGTGGTACTAATCTTGTACTTATTGCACTATATGAAGTTTATTGTTTGGGCAAATGTAGCGCCTGTTTATATTTTATATTTACCTGTCAAAATCTAGCCTCTGCTCCCCCTCCCTCCCCAGAAGCGTTAGACCAGGAGCATAGAGGAGGCCTTCGAGCAGAACGTACCCTTTTGGGTGAAGCTCCGCTTTAAGAATGTCAGGGGCCACACTTGAGGGCCCATATATCAGGAAGCACTGTCTTACAGAGAGATCAGGGCACACCCTATGGTGACTAGGGACATCCATAAGGCTGAAGTGATCAGGGACACAGCTAGTCATCATGCCAGTGAGATCTCTCTTCAGGTCATGTCTAATATAGGAGAAGCCAGTGAATGGGTCAGCCCATCAGACTCCACCTATAAGTGACATTTCATATCTGGGCGGTGTGCTCCTACCTTCTGATTTCCTACACTCTCCCACACAATCACATCATGTATTATACGTCTAGGGCTCCCGGGACCATCACACGCAGACGATCGCTCCATGAAGAAAGGTCCCCAGCTCCGCCTTCACCCTCTGCCCTCGTACACCGGCTCCGGGATAACATTCTCACCATCTCCTGCTGTCAGGCCGCCGTCAGGACGCTCCATAGTCGTCATGACAGCCGGAAACGTCAGCATATGAGCCGCCGCTAGTCACATGTCCCTCCAGGAGGCGCCGGGTGATGAGGTCACCAAGGAACCTAGCCATGGAGTGTGTGTAATGTGACAGCTGAGGAGGGAAGCCAGCACAGGTACATCCAGATTCCATTCTTGTTCCCTATGGAGTTCTATTGATGTTTCCTCTAAGGCATGTTTTATTTTCTTCAGCACTTTACAATATTAAATCTACTTATGTGAAGACTGACGGGAGAACCTGCTAAGACTGGGACAGTCAGAATCTGGAGCAGCAGTGCCTGGCAACCAATCTGCTTTTAGCGGGATCTTGCTCAGTGAAAGAGGAACTGAGAGGAGAAGTGCGGTATGTCAAAAAACCAAACATTTGTACTCACCTATGTGGCTGCAGCATTGATTCGATGCTGCAGCTGTCCCACACCACCTCTAAGACCAAGAACCATGTGATCACATGACCGCTGATCGCTCAGTTCTTCATTCTCACCCAGCAGAGAGCTGGTGACTTCAGTGCCCACTGGAGTGTCAGCCTGTGGAGGGAAGATGTCACCAGCACATCAAGGATCACCAGTATGTGTCCAAACGTTTTAATGAATGATCACGTAGTTACAGCAAGGCAGTGTTTCAGATTTTCGCTGGACCCCTTCGTCAGGCATGTGACCATGTCCAGGTCACATGCCTGATGAAGGGGTCCTGCGAGACTCCGAAACGTTGCCTTGCTATAATTATGTGATTGTTCATTAACTGCTTGCCAACCGCCCTATAGCAGAAAAACTGTTACAGGGCTGCAGCAATACACGTGATTTCGCATTTCCAGGTAGGGGTCGCACATGCCCTACCCGCGCCGGCATTTGCAGCTGTCAATTAACGGGCCCCAGCCGATAATTACTCGCCGGCGCCCGATGATTTCTGAGGATCTCCGACACCAAGTCAGTTCCCCCCAGTGTCAGAATGGCCGCTGTAGTCCCGCTATAGGTCTCTGATCACCGCCATTACTAGTAAAATTGAAAAAAAAAATCCCAGTATATATACCGCCCTTTGTGTACATGTTAATTTTCCCTCAAACCAATTAATTTACACATATTGGGTTTTTTTTTTTTTAAGCAAAGACATATAGCAGAATACATTTTTGCATAAATTTATGATGAAATTTAGATTTTTTTTAAAATTTTTTACTGGACATGTTTAATAGCAAAAAGTCGAAAATATTTTTTTCTCAAAATTATCGCTTTTTTTGTAATAGCGCAAAAAATACAATCAAATTTCATTTGGGCGCAGCGTTGCATGACCGTGCAATTATTAGTTAAAGTAAAGCAGCACCGTAAAGCAAAAAATGGCCTGTTCAGGACGCAGGGTAAATCCTCAGGAGGGCAAGTGGTTTAAAACGTTTGAACCCATATTGGTGATCCTCAGTGTGCTGGTGACATTCTCCCTTGCTGATTCTGTTCAGTTTTTTTTTACGGTCTCCATGCAGTGTTTTTTTTTTTCCATGCAGTGGGGCTGGGCCCACACTGCATGGGTTAACTACTTGTTTTGACTAGGGGTGATCACAGAAACAATACTCACCCGATTCTTTGAACCTCTTAAAAATGGTGCTCCCCCATGTCCAGCGGTGGACTGTTCCTGGCATCCTCACATCCAAAGTAGGTCTATGGGCGTGATTACCTCAGAAACAGTTCACTGTACAAGACCACTGGACTGCAGGGGGGGGGGGGGGGGGGGGGGGCAGGAGCGACGGGGACCAGTCTTCGGCTGGGAGGATTGGCGGATTAGGTGCGTATATCTCGGCTCTCCAATGTCCTAGACAAAAATGAGCAGTTAACCCATGCAGTGCAGGCACAGCCCCACTGCATGGGAAGCAAATTCCCTGAGTTCTTCTTTTAAGCTGTGAAAATGAAAGCTAGAAGCTGATTGGTTACCATGGATTTTGTGCTATCAAGCTTTAGTACATTCCCCCATGTGTGTTAGACTTTCTCCACTTTTTAAGAAAAGATTTATGTTAAACCACCCATACCTCCCAAGGTTCTGAGATAGGAAACAGAAGCCCAATTGCTAAAATTTAATATAAGCTTGAATGTGTTAAAGAGGAACTTCAGTCACCCCTCTGTGGTTTGTTTGTTTTTTTTTTCCTATTTTCCCTTTTACCTGTTATGCAGAGTTGTTGTTTAGTTCAGATATGGGCCTGCCCAGAGGATCCAGCAATGTTTGCTGTGATCTGCTACTCGTCCCACAGGCAGATCATAAACTACCATTTTGGTCCTCCTCAGTTATTAGAAGTCAGATGCCTCTTCCTGGTTTAGACAGCCAGCTCCTGATTGATTCACACTAGTTCTGGCTGTGTGTTCTTGCTTTTGTTGCCTACTGGGAATATATGATGGGGTTGTACTAAGAGGTTGCTGGAACAGGACACATCAATCTTGTGATGGCAACAGCAGGGCCAAACACAAAAATGGTGATTTACATGGGGGGAGTCCATAAAGCTAAAGTAGCTAAATGTATCAATTATAAAGGCTCCATGCAGGAGAAGATGTATCCAGGGGATTTTATTTATGTATGAGAATTTACTATGATCAGCCTCGGCAAGGAAACAACACTAAAAAGTTAATTAAAGCTGAAATCTAGGCAGATATAAAAGACACATTAATGCAGCTCTGTAATCAATAATAGATGCACAAATTGTGAGTACCTAAATACGACCTGGTATTAGCCTCTTCTATAGCAGATGTGGAGTGTAACGGAAGAAGCAGCACAGGCAGCCAGTCAGTGTGACAGAGACATGCTTATTACTGTGCTATTTCTCCTTTCACTGTGTAGTCACAGACTGGGGTGTGTCCAGGGCCAGAAAGTGGTGCTGATGGTGGCTGAGGACAACTAACAGCTGAATAAAAAGCACTGAGAGTAAAATCTCTGGATTTAAGCTGAATACTGAAGGAAAGCTGGTTTTGTTATTGTATCTTTTTCTGAGCTATGGGGATGCCATTTTGTAGAGACCAATTCCATTCAAAAAATAGCAGGGACCATAAGCAGAAAACATTAAGCTAACAGTTTGCCTTGCCCACAGTTTTTAGAAAGTCTTATCTAAGAAAAGACAGCAGAGAGGTAAGTGTAATTAACACATGACACTTGCCTTTCATCACTCTTTTCAGTTATATTATCCAGAGTACTCATTTAAACTTGCATAGCATAACATAATGTAACAACTAGCCCCCTATTTCCTTCTTTTTTCCTTTTTTGTATGATTTTTGTTCCTTCCATAATCCTAAACTTTTACAGCAAAGTGACATATACCTTGTGTAGACTGCATATTGCCATTATACACCAAATATTGCTGTACCAAAGTTCCTTCTCTTATTTCTGTATACATTTTTATTAGGTATATTGTAATCTGATGTATCTGGTTTTCATATTTCAATAAAACCTTACTGTGAAAAAAAATGTATGTGCAAGTACCACTATTTGACATTATGATAAAATTATCTTTTATTTGTTCATTGTGGGAAAAAAAATGATTTTATTTATTTCAGCAATGGATAAGCAACGGAAATTGATGGTTGTGGAAGATTTTGTAGAATATCATCTATTCCTGGTATATAATGAAGAAACTGACACTGAGAAGCACAAACATATTCTGCAGCAATATATAGAGCAAATTCTAGCCCAGTTTGCTCCTCTACTGACTAATTACATCTGGCAAAACCAACCATTTAACCTCAGGTTAAAATCAAAGAAAGGTAATTTGGTGTCCCCCTATGCCATCCTGACACTTTCTGTTTAGTGTATTGACCTGAGTTTGCTGGGAAAGTATGTGTACGTGTGCATCCTTGTCATGGGTATCAGAGGGTGGCTTCATTAAAGAATAAAACATGATGACTTTTATAACCGGGATCGGTTACATTTTAATGGACACACTTTCTTAATTAACCTTTTCATTATTTCGTGAATTAATCATTATGAGAAAATCAACCTGAGATATATAATTGCAAACACAGTTTATATAAGTAATAACACATCTTGGTCCCAAAGAAGAGTAAAACATGATGTATTTTCTTTGGTCACCTGTATGTGCAAAGCTTCATGTTTACTGGCTATCCATAGCTCCATGTAGGTGAAGTTCATCTCTCCTTTTGTTCTCCAGTCTGGAAGAGCAACATTGCTTTTCCGTGTATCATATGACTACATTTTTATCGGTACCTGCTCCCACTTCTCACCTAGGCAAATATGACACACTTTGCCCCACCCCATCCCCTCCTGCAGCCACTGGGGACACATTACCTGCCCTAGGAGGCTGCAGGACCATTCAGAGAGCATAAGCCCATGCATGCGCATTGGGGAGTCTACTGTTTTTCAGGAAGTCACAGCTGGCTCCCATATCCAAGATGGCTATGCCAGAAACCCGTAGCAGTAAGAAACGGCTGTGGGAAGACCGTGCTGGACTTCAGATACCTGAGTACCTTTTTAAAAAGAAAAAAAAAAACCTATGCTACGATCATCACACTTGTACTCCATTGGCACTTCCCTTCGCTCTATAACTGAAAACCTGTACCTCAGTATGGACAACTGAAGGAAGAAGCTGCAAAACTATCGGCATTTATCCTTTTTTTCTAAAATGTGGCTTCAACCTTTATTTTAAAGCATGAAACCTGATGATCAGTCAGCTTTAATTCTACAAAATGAAGCCAGCAATCAACCAGTGAATGTTATTTAATTTTGTTTCTTACACTTTTTGATGATCATTTTATAGGTCAGAGTTTTTATTTGAGAACAGGTCTTTCCACCTAAAAACTCTTATTTTTTTTAGGTGGTTTGTGGACAGTAGTGTCACATGATAGCTTCTATTCTGGGGACTCCATGAGAAAGGTCTCCTCACAAGTGGTCCAAGGTCTGTTTCATGGCAGGTAACTGGTGATGCCATGCTATTATCTGGATGCTATAGAATCAATTCATAGATGGGTAATCTTTGCAAAATACTGTTATACCCTAATGACAGCACTGTAATTTGAGTTGATAACATTTACTAGTGCAGGGAGATCTTGTCACTGCTTTCTTTGAAAATTATAGGTGACTGGTTTGTGAGCAAATATTCTGGTGCCCACCTAGAAATGAAAAAAATTGTATGTTCTGGATAGTTTAGTTGCTATGATATTTATTTTTATTTAATAAAGTTTATTTCTCTTGTTTAGGTAACATTCCTGCTCATATTGGTGGAAAAAACACATTTTGGTGATAACATCGAAGATGAGTGGTTCATTGTTTATCTAATCAAACAAATTACCAAAAAGTTTCCAGAACTAGTGGCTAGGTATTGTGTTTTTTTTTTTTTTTGTTTTTGTTTTTTTTTTTTTCTTTCTTTTTTTTTTTTATGCTTTCTGTGTTGCTGTTATTATTTGATGATTACTTGATGCTGTAAAGCTGTCCAGTGAATGAATGATGTGGCGCATATTTATTACAATTTAGAACAGATTTTTTGCTATAATTTGTTGATGTTGCTCAGGGAAGGGCTTACCTCCCGTGGAGAGTGCTAGATCTGATTCAGTGAGTTCCATCTTTTATTGTTGATATGACAACCAATCAGATATTCCCTTCTCTCAGTCTAGGTTGGTGGCATCTCGCTTCTATGAGAAAAAAAAAAATATGTAACAAAGAGCTATCCCTCTTAAAGGGACTTTTTGTGTGCAGTATGCTGTCCAGAAAAAGTTAATTCAGTATATATTAAAAAAATATGTATTTATTGAAGGAATTTAAAAAAGAACTAAGAATCCAGACAAACATATAAAGGTGACCATACAAAGAGAAACAATGATCAGTGTATTGTATAGCTCAAAGGAATCTATGAAGCAAAGCGCTACGAGCATCGCCCAACGCATTTCGAGAGAATATCTCTTCTTCAGGGTATGCTTTTTACGGTTCACACTTCACAGTTGTCTTCTATAGATGTGAAAGAAAATATACATACATCAGATATAATGTTACATACATAGTCATAAAATACATTTCCTTAACCATAGTGGCTACTGACCTAACTTGAGCTGTTTTTTAATATGCAAGAAGTCGCCACTTGGTGAAATTTTCTAATGACATTTGTCCATTCATCAAATGTACAAATATTTATATGAATATTCTCATCCGAAGATCTACTCTATGCCCAGCATTAGTTGTCTGTGCAGATCCAAATAAATGAAACACTATGGAATATCTATCAAAACTGGAGGAAAGGAGTAGGAAAGTTTGATTACAAATTGCAATGAAAAATGTTGTAGGCTTCTTTCATATGGACAGCCAGGGAGTGGTAGAAACAGATGTTTAATGCATGTTTTAACTTTCCTCTCCCCACCCTACTGCCCACCCACAAACATACATGGGACATGGTGCTTCTCAGATGGGTACACATGGCCACAATACTTTGCATTGCACTGCAGCAATTTTAACACTAAATGTCGCGTTTGACAGGTGGCACTGTCTTTCAAACTCTCCTGTGTAAGTGAATTGGGCAGCGCCTGTTTTTAAAAGCTTACTCTGTGTAAATTGCTACTTGCTGCATTATAATAAAACAAGGAACATAAGAGCTCTGACATTTCTATCTTATAAAGGGTTGAAGACAATGATGGAGAATTTCTGTTGATTGAAGCAGCTGATTTCTTGCCCAAGTGGCTGGAGCCAGAAAATAGCTGCAATCGAGTAAGTAAATCCCTTTGTAATAATTGCCCTCTCCATTGTGTTGTGGTGCCTGGAAGAAACATGGAGAAGACCTCCTGTACAAAAACAAATAATGATTAGTAAATTACCACCTGGTTTTTGTTTCCCTTTTCAGGTGTTCTTTTACCATGGAAATTTGTGTATCATCCCTCTGCAGCAGGATGAGGCAGACCTGCCTGACCCATCATCCAATATGACTGTACTGCAAGCTTTGAAACTACTTTCAGCACACCCAGATGGTTTCCTGGCACCAGAGTCCATCACAAAAGCAATTGAAAGGCGAATTAAAGGGTATATACTTATGTAATTTTGTTATATATTTTAGTGTTCCTTACTTTCTTATACCACTGTACATGAGGATGGAAAAAGGCAGCTGCCTTGGCAACAAAAATCTCTCTTGCCTCATAAGTTAAGTCGAATTAGTTCCCTGAATCATTCGCATGCAACATGCATTATACTTGATTACACCTGAACATATATTGTACATTATTGCAAATTAAGGCATTCAGCTTATCTTTTAAATCCTGTATTCACATTCAAAGAAACAATTCAAATGTTTGACTCCATTCGGCTGCCCTTGACTGAAAATACCCTAAGTATCCTGAGTGTAATTTAGGTGTGTTTCTCGGGATGAAAAAATCCCTACTGCATTCATATCCTAAAGACCTCTGATATCATTGTGTGCTTCCACTGCCAACTATCAGAATCTATCCACTGGATAAACATACAGAAGCAGCCTTATTTTCCAACAGAGCAATGTATTAGAAAAAGTATATACATTTTTTTCAGTTTGTTTTTGCCATCTATGCCCCATTGGTGAGGTTTCCCTTTACTTTCCAGTTCCATTGCCAAAACAGGAAGTTAGCAGGAATCATGCAAAAGTGAGAGAACCCTTGGTTGCACAAGGGTCTCCAGAACTAGATTCCCTATTAGAAGATTTCCACACTATCCCTGTTCTGGTGACATCCAAAAATTGGGGAATTTCTTTGACTCTAATCCATTTCCACACGATCCAAGCAAGAACAATTCTTTTGCCTTTAGGTATAATTTAAAGCCCAAACTTTTTTTATATAATTTTTAATAGAATGGGTACGGGTTTAATCTGTCAGTTTGTTATTGCTGGGGAAATTTCTCAAACATGGACAGTGATAAGAGTTTAAAAAAAGCTGACAGAGGTTCTAACTCTTCTTCTCTATCCATAACTTGGAGTTGGACTTTGATACCAACAGAAAGTAGTCTACTATATGAAGTATTGTTGTCATATAATACTGCCCATAAACAAAATGATTTTCTACCAATTTTAACCAGTTTTTGATTGCAAGAAGATCATACAGGTCACGGCAAGCTACCTAACAGTTTAAAGTATGGGTAGCACAGTGGCTAAAGGGTTAGCACTTCCGCCTGGTAGTACAAGGGTCATTGGTTTGAATCCCAACCACGGCACCACGTGCCTGGAGTTTGCATGTTCTCCCTGTGCCTGCATGGGTTTCCTCCTGGTACTCCGGTTTCCTCCAAAGACATGCTGGTAGGTTAATTGAATCCTATATATATTGGTCCTAGCACATGTATGCATGAATGTAAGTTAGGGACCTTAGATTGTACACTCCTTGAGGGTTAGGGACTGATGTGAGTGTACAATAGATATGTAAAGCGCTGCATAAATGTTTGGCGCTATATAAGTAGTAGTAGTAATATTATGGTTTTGATTGGTCCTAGATTACATTGATCTGTCTATTTCTGTGAAATTGCATGAAAGCTGCTTTGTGCATGAGTAGCACTAAAGACTAAAATGTAAAAACACACCAGAAATTGAAAAAAGTGTTAGTTTGTGTGGCCTATTTCTCATTGTTATTGATTGTTTACAGGTATCCTGAAAAAATTAAGGAATCACTCCATCAGGCTCATTGCTTTGTGCCAGCTGGGATCGCAGCGGTAATAAAGGAGCGCCCACAGCTGTTGTCAGCAGCAGTTCAAGCATTTTATCTCCGGGATCCTTTAGACCTGAAAGCCTGCCGGACCTTTTCTCACTTCTTGCCTGAGACTCGCGTGTTTACATCGGTAATGATTATGTTTATAAGTAGTTTTACCCATAAGGGGAAGTTCCGCTTTCAATCCACTCCCCCCACCCCCCTCCCCTCCTCTGCCACATTTGAAATGTCTTTTTTTTTTTTTTTTTTTTTTTTCCTTTTTTTTTTTTTTTTGGGAGAGCAGGTACCTTGTTTTACAGGTACTCGCTCCCACGTCCGCTCAGATCTCTAAGGAAGTCAGCTGACATCATTCAGCCAGTCCAGACTGGGGTAAAATCACGACTTTAAAGTCAGGAACCACCCCAGAGTCTGGAACAACGGCACCTGGTTCAGCCTCTCAGCAACCTGCTGAGAGCCTGAGCCAGCCGCTCCCTCCCCAGCCAGCACTCCAGTGAGTGCGGGGAGGCAGTACAGACAGTGGTGACTTCTCTCAGCTCACAGCGGTGGTGAGAACTCAACTCACGTTCTCACACTTAGAGGCGGTGGGGGACAGACGCAGTATCGGACCGATGCTGTATCCACCTAGGTAAGTATAATTTGGGGGAAAAAAACCCAAACCCATACTTTTCTCTTTAAGTATGGAATAGAAAATTCTCAGTGTTTATTTCTTTTGATTCAAAATAATTCATAGTAACGAACTTCTACTCGGTACAAGACACATTCCTGATGGTGAAATAACCCTTTTCATTTTATTTACTTATCTTTCCTTTACCTAGGTGACGTTTACAAAATGTTTGTATGCTCAGCTTCTCCAGCAGATGTTCCAGCCTGACAAACGCAGTGGATATACTCTTCCTGCCCGTTCACATCCTAAATATAAAGCATATGAACTTGGAATGAAGCTGGTAATTGAACATTTTTTCCCACAATTAGTCATGTTTTACTAAGATTTGCTACTTATAGTGGTTACTATCTGTTTTTTTTTCAGCATCTTCCTATATAGGCTCGTCCACACCAGCCCATATGCTATAATTTGTGCATGCTGATGTGCATTTTGTCGGGGTGTATTGCGTTGTGCCGCACTGCACTGTGGTAATATGTGGTCAGCTGTACGGGGTTAAAATGCAGACCTACTCCATTTTTTTTATTATTATTTTTTCTTTTACAAAGAATTTTATTGTAGATTGAGCAATGATAAACAAACATTCGGAACATAGAATCCTTGACCAATACATAAAAAAGTTATTCTGTATGATTGAGAAATAATGTAACATGTACATTGGAAAAAAAAAAAGCTCAAAACATCAGCTATAACTTATAGCAGAAATGCCCGGTAGAAAGGGTACGATTCACAGTCTTTGATGGTCAATGATAGTGTAGATTCTGAGAGAGAAAATTGCTACATCAGGAAATATTGGACAAGAGTATAATAAAGACACAGACCAAGAAGAGAGAGAAGAAGAGATAAAGATAAAAAAATAAAAAAAGGGGGGGGGGGGGGGAGGAAGTAGGGCTCCGGGGAGATTGCAGCAGAATCCAACCTCATATCGACAGAAGGGACTGGTCGAATCTCGATGGTTGGGCTATATCCAGCCAGGGACGCCATATCCACAAAAATTTTGTATGGGTATCCAATAATAATATGGCCGTCAATTTTTCATTAACCATTATGAAGTTCATCCGATTTTTGACAGCCTCAAAGCTGAGAAGAGGAGTCTTCCAAGCCCTCGCAATTGTCAACTTAGTGGCCATAAATAAGCATGATGCCAGCTGCCATTCAGAACGGAGAAGGCCCTCCATTGGTTTAAATAGAAGCGCTTCGTACGGGTTACGCTTAATGTCTGTGTGAAGCATAGTGCGAAGGAGGGCATACACCCTAATCCATAATCTGCTTACTTTAGGGCAAGTCCACCAGATATGAGCCATGGTACCCAATTGTTGGCATCCTCGAAAGCAAACCGGGGAATATGTAGGGATGAAACTAGCTAAACGAGCAGGTGTATAATACCATCGATAAAGAATTTTGTAGGCATTCTCAAGAATAATGACATTCCTAGAGACATTTAGATAATGCTTGGGTCATGGTCCGCCAATCCTGTTGATTTAAAGTCCCCCCCAATTCAGACTGCCAGCGCTGATGATAGGAGCGAACCGGAGGGGTTCTATAAGAAATAATGGAGGAGTAAATCAGGGAAATCAAACCCGGAGCATGGGGTCTATGTCTGCACTGGCTTTCAAAGGGGGACAGATGATACATGTCCCGAATGCGTGCGTATTAGTGTATTGACAAAGTGACGAAGTTGAAGATATCCAAAGTGCTCCCGCAAAGGAATATTATAAGAAGAGCGCAGAGTTTCAAAAGAAAGTATTCGAGTGGGAGATAGAAGTGAATGTACATCGTAAAAACCATGCGTTTGCCACCAGGCAAACTGCCTGGGATTGTCCCGACCTGGAGGGAATAACGGGTTATGCAATAGTCGTAACAGCAGCAGGTGAGCAGAGATAAGGCCAGCGGAAAATTTGATGGAATCCCAGAGACGTAGCGAGAGCGTCGGGCTAAGGGCAGACGGACGTTTAAAGTAGGAAGCCATGGCAAGGAGGAGAGCGGTATCGGGTGGGAGTCCATCATATCAATGACAGCTCACAAGGGAAAGTGATGAGAAGCATGGATATGGGCCAAAGGGGCAATATTAGCCGCCAGATAGTAAGACTGGAGATTTGGGACCGACAACCCACCCTCACTCTTACGCGCGAACAAAATATGTTTACTAATTCTGGGCCGGGAAGAGCTCCAAATAAAAGACAAAAGTTTTCGCTGATGAATACGCAATATATGCGAAGGTACTGGAACTGGTAAAACCCGAAATAAGTACAGTAGTTTAGGAAGATAGGTCATACGGATCGCATTAATTCTGCCGAACCATGAAAGCGGGAAATGAGACCAGGAGGTCAATAGTTCGGTCAGCTCCTGAAAAACAGTGGGAAAATTAGCCTGGTACAGTCCGTCATATGTCGGGGTGAGCTTAATTCCTAAATATGGTAGGGCCAAATGCCATTGAAAAAGGAAACGTTTGCTTCAAAGTCATCAAAAGTGTAGTGGAAGGGTAATCAACATAGCTTTCGATTTGGCGGGGTTAACGTGAAGACCCGAAAGATTTGCAAAGGAATCGAGAACCGCGAGCAAATTAGGCAGAGTAACCCCCAGATTTGAAATCGACAAAAGTATATCGTCGGCAAACAGAGACAATTTATGTTGGGAGCCCGCCACCTCAATCCCCTTAATATCATGATTCATACGAATGGCTTCCGCCAATGGTTCCAAGGCTAGGATAAAGAGTATAGGGGAGAGCGGACAACCTTGTCTAGTGCCTCTGGCGACCGAGAACGTAGAAGACTCAAATCCGTAATATTTAAGTTTCGCTTGAGGGGAAGTGTATAGCGAAGAGATCCATCTTAGAAACGAAGGACCAAAGCCAAAGCGGTGAAGGACTGATAGGAGATAAGGCCATGATAAAGTGTCGAAGGCCTTATTGATATCTAAGGATAAAAGCATCATGTCGAGTTTACGGATATGGGCTAAATGTTGTAATTGTAGGATACGTCTGATAGCATCTCCAGCTTGTCTATGGGGAACAAAGCCCACCTGGTCCTTTTTGATCAAACGGGAAAGGAAGGAATTCAATCGAGTAGCCAGAATCTTAGTGAGAATCTTCATATCGATGTTAATAAGGGAGATAGGCCTATAATTTGCCCAGGAAGAGTGATCTCGATCCCGGTTTAGGAATCATAACCACATTGGCGGTCAAAGAATCTGGGGAAAAGTCCACGCCCCCTTCACCGCGTTAAACATAGCGGCAAGGTGGGGCGCGAGCACATCAGCTAATTTCTTATAATATAGTGCCGTGTAGCCATCCGGACCTGGGCGCTTGCCCGTCTTCAGGTCTGCTATGCATTTCAATACCTCAGATGTTTGAATATTACAGTCCATTAGATCCCTATGTGCCGGTGTCAAAGTAGGCAGGGACAGACGAGATAGAAAGTCAGAAATGGATTGGGAATCAGCCCGTGTAGGGTCAGTGTAAAGTTTGGCCAGACGAAACCGGAACTCTTCCAAAACCGCAACCGGATTACTCGTAAGGGTATTATGCCGAGTGCGTAAAGATATCGGTTTGGGATGGTGCGCAAAAAAACGAAGTCTACGAGCCAACATGGAGTCCGGTTTGTTTGCTTTACTGTACCACTTCTGGCGTGTCCAGCGTAAGGAGCGTTCAGCCTCATCCGTTAAGCACAGATCCAGTTCTAAACGGGCCTGATCCAACAATCTACGATTCGATGGGGTAGGTGACTGTTTAAATTGGGCCGATATGGAGGTCAACTTTGATTCTAACTGACACTGTTTAAGCTGTCGTTCCTTCTTTCGTCTTGAAGCTATCTGGATAATATGTCCCCTAAGAACTGCCTTGTATGCTTCCCACAATGTTACTGAAGAAGAGACAGAACCCGAGTTTAATTGGAAGTATTCCTGAGATTTACGATGGAGTTCCGTCTGAATCTCCTTCAGTGAAAGCAAGGAGTCATTCATTATCCACGAAGAAAAGGCCGGCCTACATAGAAGAGATTGACAGACCACCAAAATAGGCTCATGGTCAGACCACGGTACCGTGAGAATAGAAATAGCACGAACCAAGGGGAGATGTTTACGTGATACGAAGGTGTGGTCAATTCTGGAATGAGAACGATGAGGGTGGGAGTAGTAGGTATAATCTGTCCCCCGGGGATGAAATTCACGCCATAAGTCCACCAGATCGTGGGTATGTAATGTACGTATAAAAGACTTTGCCGAAGCGGAAGGGTCAGAATGTTTTGCTGGATATTTATCCAATGCCGGATTTAACACTAAATTAGAATCCCCGGCCATCAAAAGAGTACAACGTTGATGTGTTGCCAGGAGAGAACACAGATGTGACAGAAAAGGTCCAGGGTTAACGTTAGGAGCGTAATAGGACATTATGGTAACTTCTATACCTTGTATTGTGCCCCGGAGTAGAAGGTATCTGCCATTGGGATCAGCAATACGTCTCACACAGACAAATGGAGTTTTACTATGAAAGGCGATCAATACACCTCTCTGTTTAGTGGGGCCATTAGCCTGAAATATCTGAGGGTAACGAGCATCAAAGTATTTTGGGGCAGAAGTAGATGAGAAATGGGTTTCTTGCAAACAAGCAATGTCAACTTGACGAGCTCGGAGAAATTTAAATATCTTTACCCGTTTCTGCGGAGAGTTCATCCCCTGGACATTCAATGATAACCAGTTCAACGACATGGTGATCTATAGGAAGAAAGATCAAATCCACTGCAATCCCCGGGAGCCCTGAAAAAAACATTTACGAAGACACACAAAGCAAAAAAGAAAAGAGAGGAGATGGAAAAGAAAGGAGAAGACATCTAATATACAAGCAATATATCTATGAGACAATAAGGTTAATTCAAACATAGCAGGTGACTGTGGGTAAAACACCCACATAGAGGCTGGGTAGCGGTCGGGAGAAAAAACCAGACCGCTAGTCAGCTCGGAGGGGGACACGTTGGTCCACCGGAATAACTCGGCAATAACAAAAAAGAGATATAAACATATTATATAAAACAACTTAGGCTAATACACCTGTGGATGATAAATCCATAAATCGCAGGGCTAGAAAAATCTCAACCAATCAGTGAGGAAAAAACAAACAGCCACCCTAGATTGGAAGGGATAAAACACATGGAGGTCATGGAACCTCTGAACAACTCTAGCATTAAACCCAGGAAGTGGCGATAAAAATCCACTTGTGATGAGAGTACATACTGGTGATCAGCCACTAAGCATCAAGTCGCGGAGACTTCCTGGAAACGTTGGGCCCGC